TGACCAGGGCACCGTCGAACTGGCAGAGATCGACGGCTTCATCTCCGTACGGTGACATGATTGGTGACGCGCCCCTAGATATCGTTGGCAAAGGTCATTGGTTGCATGGGAGCTGCAGGGAAGAAATACATGGATAGCGCGATGTTGGCGACAAAGTTGGCCACAACATAGTTGATCATGTTGTGTACCAGGGGGTGGCCCTTGACGACTTCCTGGACCACCTGTGGCACCTGTTCGAGCAGTGCGGAGGTATCACGGGCAGGAGTGACAGCCTCGCTCCGGACGAAAGGGGGAGGGCTTGAGACGAGCTTCACGAATTCAGCAGCCGCGGCCTTCGGGTCATCTGCAGCCATGATGGCGCTGACGATTGCAACGCCATCCAGGGCCTTATGGGGAGCGCGGGACTGGTAGAGAACGCGCTGGACATTGGAAGCGTTGATTCCACCAATGGAGACGGTTCCAACATTGCGGCCCGACTCCGAGATGGCCTCAAGAATGGCCTGGGTTCCGGCTGTGCCAATGATGGACTTGGTGTTGGTTTTCCTGCTCTCGTCAGTCATGTACACTTCTTCAAGACTACCTGGGGTCGTACGTCGGAGTTGCGAACATGGTGCCAATTCCGAGGTAGTCGGCACCTGCAGCAACAGCCTTCTGCGCCTCCTCGATAGAGGAGGCACTGATGCCGATGATAGCATTCTCGGGGAGAAGCTTCTTGGCTACCTCGATAGCTACAAGCAGTCAGAATACGGCGAGTAGACAGATTAAGTCCAGACATACCCATGTCATCTTGGCCCAAGTGGACACCCTCTACACCAGCAGCAAGAGCGACATCAACACGGTCATTGATGAGCAGAGGGACATTGTACTTCTTGGTGATTTGGTGCAATTTCTTGGCGGTCTCTACTTGGACGCCCGTATCACTTTTCTTGTCTCTATATTGGACAATCGTCACACCTACAACCAATCGTCAGTGGTGAGAAAAATCCGCGAGAAGAACAACTCACCTCCTTTGACAGCTTCCTCAACGACAGCACACAGGTCACGACCCTTGAGGATGGCCGGGGTTGAGTCGGTGACCAGGTATACCGAGAGATCCAGAGTCATTTTGTGGGAACTGGTTGGGCTCTGGTTAGATTCATGTGACGCACACTAGGCTGAGTACTGCCAGTTTTGTGGGACGTAGTGGACGAGACAATAGTACTTACCGGCTATATTCAATTTACTGATAGTACGAGTCCCACGATGGTCACAACAGTATATTGGAGGCCCACGAGTCACAGGCAAGCGAGACTTGGATGGTGTTGGGAAGAGTGGGGGTCTCACGGCCGAAGTTAGTCATGGCTACCCTTCGACATCATCTGCTCCCATTTCTCTCGCTTCTGTTTACACTATGGGGTTGAGGATAATTGTTACCTTCATGTCTTCTCACACAATGATACCATACTCAAATTCTACTATATCAATGCACGGCCTAAAGGACGTTGAAGCTAGTCACTAGTGCTAACGCATTAAAATTTGCTGCTGATATGGCTATTCTCAGTATTGAGATTGATGGTTTACTTCATGATCAATCATGTCCGGTCACGAACCTACCAAGAAGGATACTTGAGCTAGCACCGTTTACAGATGCATTAGGGAATGCTAAGTGGCCAGCTGCATCATTAAGTACTTCACCCCATGGCTACAGTGAAAGTTACTGATGCAGCAGAGTTGGTGTTGTGCTGAAACTCCTGGCTCCACTTCGGATGGCGACAGTGCTCCGCCGATGGCCGGCGTCTGCTCGTGCTTCTCACCCTGGACCAATGATCGGATTGTGCAGGCTCACACGGTCGCACAGTACAGACCAAAATATCTACCTAGAGAACACCGACTACCCGAAAGTTACCCCAAGAGTTTGCCTTAGCCTGTGTCTCCGGCTTTAAATTAGGAGACAGTCTATGCAGGGGTACATTTTGGGACTCGGACAGGCAACGACAATCCCATTGTATCTCTACTACCGGAAAGTATAAGCATGGTGAAGTCATCAGATATACTACTATCAAAGGTAGTCTGGCAAGTCTCTACACTCTAAAGTCTAAACACACTGAAGTCGCCGTGCACAGTACTAGCTAGTAGTCGGACCCGAAGCACTGGGCTTGAAATGACCAATGGGCTCCACTGGAGAAGGACAGCACTGTCTGTACGCCGTTAGCAGATACAAAGCCAAATGATGTGCGACCTGGTTCTTCCCAAGTGAACAAGCCGAGTGACACTGATCCCTCTATCAAGAGGAGGAGAAGGTCCAGTTAGAGTAAACATTAATTGGGGAACTACGAGTGAAGCGAGAGAAGACAAGAAGACCACAAAAAAAAGGACCGAGACAAGTAATATGGAGATAGTATTAGTGCCCTCGAACAATATGAGACTTTTCATAATGAAAGTGGCGCCTGGAGATGCCTCGGCTGACTCAGACGCGCGCATTTTTTCCTTCTTTTTTGCACTCGCCGTTTTTTCCGAATTTTACTGGTTGGGAGCCTTAGCAAATCGGCTCGGACTTTTCCCTTTTTTTGTTTGGGCTTTCACTTCCCTTTCTTTCCTTCTTTTCTCTTTCTCTTCTCTTCTTCTTCTTCTCTTCTTTCCCTCTTCCACCCACTTTCCAACTCATCCACCTTTCAGGTTTTTCTCATCACTATCTCATCGGCTTTGCAACGCTCTTGCGTATCAAAAGCTCTTTCCGCCAGGCTACCACTTTCGCCTGCTGGTTTCCCACACGTTTTGTTCACGCTCAAACCACTCTGGTTAGTTCCCTTCCCTTCCCACCTCCGGCCCCTGCTGTCAGGCCTCCATCAGTATTACGAAGCTGACCGGATCGTCTTGCCTTCCTGCTCAACAGAAGAACCACCCGTTGGTTTCTCTCTCTTCCTGCCGGAGAAAGCCACTGAAAAACAGAGTCGGTCGAGAACTTGTCTATGTATTCGTCCTGCGTCAGAGATCTCGATCACCACCTGCCGCTCAAGCTGCAATCGTTTCGCTTCACGTCGAAACCTTGTAGTATACATTCGAAGTCCTGTGGCTGAAAGCTAAGGGCTGCCGTATTCGCTGTGTCCATCATTCGACTCAACTAAAAAAATTTCGATCTCAACAACCGCCATCATTCCACCAACATTAGGAATATTCCACGCATGTCTTGTTTTGTCAAGATATTCCTGGTCCAGAATCCCTCCCGCTTCTTCTTCATATAACCATCTCGTTTAGTCTCTTGAAGATTTCACCAATCAACCAACCGTCATCATGGCCACTGTCAACATTCGTCGGGATGTCTCCGATCCCTTCTACCGTTACAAGATGGAGCGTCTCCAGTCCAAGATCGAGGGCAAGGGCAACGGTATCAAGACCGTTGTCGTCAACTTGAACTCGGTCGCTCAGTCGCTCAGTCGCCCTCCGTCTTACGTGATCAAGTACTTTGGCTTCGAGCTGGGTGCTCAGGCCAACGCCAAGCCCACCGATGATCGCTGGATCATTAACGGTGCCCATGATGCCCCAAAGCTTCAGGACTATCTGGACGGCTTTATCTCCAAGTTCGTGCTGTGCAAGAAATGCAAGAATCCGGAAACGGATGTCATCATCAAGGATGAAAAGATCTTTTTGGACTGCAAGGCCTGTGGACAGCGCTCCGAGGTCGACTCCCGTCTGAAACTGAGCACCTTCATCATCCGCAACGGCGCGCAAGGCAAGGGAGGGAAGAAGGACAAGGCCTCGAAGAAGGCCCGTCGTGATCGAAACAAGGATAAGAATGACACCGCGAATGGCGACAAGGATGGCAGCCCCGGAGATAGCAACAACTCCGAGAACGGTGATGAGGAGAACGACGTCGCCCTGGAAGCAGGCAGCGATGACGAACTCACTCGCCGTATCAAGGCCGGTGCCAAGGACATCGAGGCCGAGGAGATCGATGATGATGAATGGGCCGTTGACGTGTCGGAGGAGGCCGTCAAGGCTCGTGCTAAGGAGCTCCCCGATGATCTCAAGCGCTCTTTGGTTCTCGAGGATGGCGACGACGAGGGTGCCGATGGCCCCTCTGCCTACGATGAGCTTGGCAGCTGGATTCTCAACGCCGCTTCTGAGAAGGGCGGTGTCACCGCTGTTAGCGACGTCGACATCTACATGAAGGCCAAGGAGTATGGCATTGAGAACAAGCACAAGACCCTTGCTGTTCTGGCCCAGACCATCTTCGATGAGAAGATTGCCAAGCAGGTTCCTGCCCGTGCTGCCCTGCTGAAGAAGATGATCACCTCCGAGCGCCACGAGAAGGCCTTCCTTGGTGGAACCGAGCGCTTCGTTGGCAAGGATCACCCTGAGCTGATCGGCCAGGTCCCCGCTGTCCTGCTCAAGTACTACGAGCACGACCTCGTCTCTGAGGAGACCCTCAAGGCCTGGGGTTCCAAGGCTAGCAAGAAGTACGTCGACATCTCGACCAGCAAGAAGGTCCGCAAGGCTGCCGAACCCTTCCTCGAATGGCTCGAGAACGCCGAGAGTGAGGAAGAGAGCGATGAGGACAGCGAGTAGATCAGTGGCTCGGCTTGCCGTGCCGTCTGTCTGCTCAGTGGACAATTTTCGGGACCTATTGATTTTGTCGCGTGATTGCTTCGTTCCAACTGATCTCCGCTCTTTTCGGATGTGATAGTTTCGCTCTGCCTATTGTTTGTTCCAGAAGTTGAAATAAGCTCAAAGAAAAAACATTGGTTTTAGGTAGCTGCTAATCAATCGCCCTGCATATTTATGCCTCAATCGTCATTGTTCCCAGTAGACTATAGACTTTCCCCTTAAATTTGTTACTAGACTCAATAGCCCCTTCCATTTCTCCATCTCCGTCGCTTCGACTAAACTACCTTGAAAGAACAAGAGCCACCTCGCTACAAGTATTACCGAACCAGACATGACAAAATACACAAGTAGTTCTATTTTCTACCTACACTATCCAACACAACCCCAAACACATCAACCTCTTTACTATGATCTACCTAAAACGCCACCTCCGCAAACCTCAACCCCGTCCCCGGCATAGCCCATCCCTTCAACGTCTCCTCTTCCTCATCCTCAACAACCTCACAGATCAAAGGCGCTCGAGCCTGACCCCTTGTCGCCACAGCAGTAGTAGTAGTCGTCCTCTTACTCTTCTCCACCACCCGCCTGACCGCCGCCCTCTCCTCCTGGAAAATAAACCAGGTTAGATCGGCGTTCCACGTCTCCATAGCTTGGATGACATTCTCAACTGAATCGATTTCTACGCTTAGAGACGATGTTGCGGTTGCGGTTGCACTCTCTGCTGGCTGAGTAGTAGTAGTAGGTTTATTGCTCCGCGTCCGGGAGGAGTAATACTCCGGCCCAGCATACCGCACTATCCATGCCGCTAGGAACTCGCAGATCTTGTCTCCGATGGATAATGGTAGGCGGACGTGTGTGAGGAGAGTGATGAATAGGGGCACTAGTGCGCGCCAGAGGGCGTGGTGGGGGGTGAATCTGCGGGTGCCGTGGGTGCCGGTTGTGGTGAGGGAGAGGGAGGGGGTGAATGGTGATGGTGATGTGGATGTTGATAGGCTGCCGGTGGTTGTGTCTTGTTGGGATTGGGATAGGGATTGTTGTTGTTGGGCGCGTCTTTCCATGGCCTTTTCGGCGTCTTGACGGACTTTGTCCCATACGCGCGTGTAGAGCCGCTCCCAGCGGGGAAATTCGGTTTCGATGCGCGAGGCCATGAAGTCGCCGGCGGTTTTGCACATGGTTTCGATGGCTTTGCAGGCTGTGGTGGTCACGAAGGTTTCTTCTTGGAAGGAGAATTCGGCGGGGGATTGTTTGAGGGTGGTGGTGATGAGGTCGGTGGATTTGGGACCTGTGGTTGGTTGTGAGGTGGTCAGGGAGGATGGGAAGCTGATTCGGGCGGATACGGCGGGCCAGAGGTCGTTTATTAGTGGGAGGAAGCTGTTTTCGTGCGCGGCGAGGGTTGGGAAGACGTCGATGAGGATGGTGAGGAGGGAGCGGCGGAGGTAGGGGGATGGGGAGGAGAGGTGAGATGGGATGGATTGAATGATGTGGAGGAGGAGGTTGTGTGGTTTGCTTAGGGGTTTCTCGCTGTCTTCGGCTTCGCGGGGCGGGGGGAGTGGTTCGTCTGGGTCGTCTTCTTCTTTGAGAAGGTCGTCGATGGTGGTGTTGAAGTCGGATGCTTGGTGCTTGGGCTTCTCGGGGTCCCTTGTCCAGGGCTTCTGTGGGTGTGGGATGATTTCGTCGATGTCTCCGAGGTCTTCGGTTAGTTTTGCACGCTTTGCTTTTCGATTGGCGAGGTCCTGGACGAGGGTAGAGATCTTTAGTCTTTCGTATGGCTTCTGGTGGTGGTCAATATTGCTGTCTTTGCCGTTGTCGATTGCAAGGAACGAGGGGCTCTTAGTGCCTTCTTCGACGATGGCGGCGAGAGTCCGGAACATCATCTCGACGAGTTTGGGATACCCATGGTACATGTCGAGTATGCTGAAAATGGAGTCCACCAGGTCGTCGAGGTAGGGAATGAGTCGCACGCCGGACAGCTTGACCATCATTAGGAGAACCTGGGGCGGGTAGGGTGAGACGTCGAAGGTGTTGAGCTTTAGGGCCACGGAGTTCACGAGATAGTCAACGTTTTCGACAATCATTGTGCTGGCATCGCCATAATTGCAGGCCGTTGTGAGAATGTTGAGGCACGTTATAGCATGTTTCTGGAGACTCGAGTTGCTGGATGCCAATAATTGAAGGACAGGGTATAATGCGTCCATCAACTCTGGACGAAAGGCCTCCCCGAGCTGCTGGGCTTGAAGGGCAACGGCTTCTAGCGCAAGTGCCTGTACCCGCCAGTCCCTAGACTCATCGACTAATGGTTCGTTGAGTATGGGTAATGAGACGTAGTATAACTCTTCAATCATGCCAGATCGTGACAAACGTTGACCTGAAGGTTCGAGCTCATCCGTAGAGATGAAATCATCGAAAATAGATGTGAGTTGGGTGTTGCTCTTTAAGAACGTGAGACCTAACCAGAGAGGTGCAATAAGAGCATTTCCCCTCTCCTGGTGAACTCGGTTGATAATCAGACGTGTGATCTCGCTGCCAGACTCAGATGCATTGAGTCTGATTATCATGGATTGCAAATCATTCAGCGTTTGTTGCTGGCTTCTGTGCTCGAGAATGACTGGAGGAAACGAGTCTGATTTGACCCCATGATTGAGTACTTCCAGAGTCTGGCTGTTTGCAACATCAGAACTGAGAGGCTGGAGAGCATTTGTCGAACTGTTCAGGGATGCGGCCACACTGTCGCAAATGCCTGACGCTAGGCTAGCTGCAAGGAGATCGGAACCGGATTGTACCTGCGACAAAACTTGAAAGGCAGTTGATATCTGCTTAACAGCCCACTGCTTCGCCGTTTCGTCGTTGCTCTGCATGGTCCTCGGAAAGGCAGTGACCCACGTATGAAGAGAGTTCTTCAAAGAGTCAATCACGGCTGGATAAGTGGTGGCATGATGTCTAAGTGCAACGAATGCCTCATTCGGCACCTGATTTTCATCCACGTTGGACAATACAACAACAGTCTCAATGATGATGGGTAGTGCCTCCTGCAATGTTTCCTGGCAGTCTTCTACTATCATCAAGCAGAGTTCCAACAGTGCTGTCTGCACCTCAGGCCGGTCATGCCGCCTTATTTGGGTAACATTTGCAAGAGCAAGTTTGATCTGTGTAGCGGTAGCTTTGAGCCAAGAGGCGTCAAGAACCAGCTGATCATCTGAGCTTTGGGAAGTAGCTGACTTCTCCGAAGATTTGGCGACTTGATCGTTCAGCACCGTCCTTAGCAGGTAGTTAAAAATCTGTAAGCAGACCGACAGAAGCTTATACGACCGCCGGACCTGAGTTGACGGTTTTATGATCTTTGTCAGAGTTGAGACTGTCCGTGGCATTATACTTGCCAGTACTACTCGATCTGTGATACGCTGAAAGAGTGCTTGAAGCGCTTTGGCTGCTGATATGCAGAGTTCGTCTGACCCCTCATCTGCGGCACCCTCGAGCATAAGATAGACCATTTGGTCAACAATAGTCGCAGTGCCGACTTCATGGTAAATAGTCTGCTTAGCAACAGATCCATCTAGAACATTGAAGATAGTGAGAAGACAGTGGAATCCCGCAATGGCGAGCTCTGGTGACCGAGTCTGTGTTGAATTGGTTTCACCTGATTTATTCGGCGTGCCACCCACGATCAAGGTTAAGAGGATGATGAGCTGCTTGCCCATCTGTGGCGACAAGCGCCTTCCCCATCCTTTCTCAACGAGAATGCGCAGGCACTTGACGGAAAGTTCCAAGCAGTTGACAGGAGACCTTTGAGTTTCATTGAAGATATGGCATAATGGGAAGAATGCATATTCTGCCAACTTCTCATCTAGAGCATCTTTGCGAGCAAGCTCATCCAGTACGTTGTACACCGGTTGGAGGGCTCGAAACACATCGTTTGGAGTTGCTTGTCGCCCACGGAATCGCAGGCCCACCGAGCTGAGCTCAACACATGGTGGTTTAAGCTTCTATTTATTAGCAAGCAGCTTGTTGCCATAAAGTACACTTCATACCTTGCTGAAAGCTTCCTGTCTAGAGATCTCCATTGGTATGGTTAGAGATGCTATCAAACTAGACGTGCATTCAATCGCATAACAGCCATCTGATATGCAACCCAGATATGGAAGATGCACGACTTCGGGCCAAATGCTGGAAATCCGAAGATGGCCGATGCTGCCTTACAGACCAGGCCATTATCGATAGTCACTTGCCGCCTTCGCCCCCACATTCTGCCAATGATATAAGGCGGTGTGTCGTGGGTGTTTGCAATGTTTGACTGTAGCTCTTCGCTGCGCTTTCAACAGATCACATTGGCCTCGATTATACAGAAAGCTTCTAATCTATACAGGTGCTTAGATCCTGACAGTCTGTCATCCTCGTTCTGTCTTTGATATCAGCTGCAAGTGGCGTTGGTTTTGCCTACTATAGTTGATCACGTGATCTTAATGGATCTCGCGTCACGTCACGTCGCGTTCCCGTTTAAGCAATGGAAGGCTCCGTGAAGGCAGCAGTAGATGTCGACTTGGGGTGCCTGATTTTCGGAACTCGACTCTCGTGCATATAAATCGATACATTGCCAGTTTAGGATGAGGGACGTTTGAGATAACGTCTATGCCCGCTAATCGCCCTTCAGCGTTTCTTGCGCCACTGTTACGATACCCTTGCAGGAGACCTGCTCCGGCGCCTTCGCAATTTAAGTCGCCTTTCTACACTGGCGACTTGACCTTGTCACGGATAGGCTCGCCATTACTTCCGTCGCAAACAAGGCAATTTGAAGTATATCAGCAGCTGAGAAGGACCTATAGTGGCATTGGTTCAAGCGCAACGCGATCGTCGCTCATAATGGCAGATTCAAAAGGCAGGAAGCAAGCTACCCTGGGGTATGTTCGGGATTCCCAGTTGACTATAGGGTGCGTCTGTGTGAATGGACCTCGGATGCATCTGTAAGTCCTAATGTATGGATTGCTAATATTGGCTTGAACAACAGGCGATTTTTCGGCTCGAATTCAGACCCTAAAGAAGCTCCCAAGAAGCAGACCACGCTGTCGTTTTCGAACAAGAAGAGCAAAGCCGCTAAAAAGGATAGTGAATCGGAAACAGCGCAAGATCCGGAGCCTGTCAATGGACATGGAACTAATGGGGACGCGAATGGTGGCGCCGACAGAGTAGACCCGGCCACGGAGTCGAAGCCAGAGGAGCCTGCCGATCAGAACAAGTTGAAGAGAGAAAACAGCAGCGAGGATGAAGATAGTGACATCCAGCCTGTCAATAAGCGCCGCCGCAAGACATCCCGAGGGGACGAAGCTACCTCCGCCCCCAAACGAAAGTCCCCATCGCCTAAAAGCCCTAAGAAGCGGTCGCAGTCGAAGGAGCCCTCGCCACCAGCTGTCGTCGAGAAGGCATCAGGCGAGAAGACACCGCAGAAAGAATTGAGCGTCTCGGATGATGAAGTAGCGGAAGAGGAGGCACAGTCTGCGAGTGAGGACGAAGAGAAGCCCGAGGTGAAGAAGAAAAAGATTGAGAAGGCTCAGGCTACGTTAAAGGCCGCTGGAAATGAGCCTTATCCCGATTGGAAAGCTGGCGACCCAGTTCCATATGCCGCGCTCTGTACCACCTTCTCCCTGATCGAGATGACGACGAAACGACTAGTGATTCTGGCTCATTGCTCGCTGTTCCTTCGCCAAGTATTGCGACTAACGCCCCAAGATCTTCTCCCTACGGTTCAACTGATGATCAACAAGCTGGCCGCAGATTATGCTGGCATTGAACTCGGCATCGGCGAGTCCTTGATTATGAAGGCTATTGGTGAGAGTACCGGACGTAGTCTGGCAGTGATCAAAACAGACCAACATGAAATCGGAGATCTTGGCTTGGTAGCTGCCAAAAGTCGGTCCAACCAGCCAACCATGTTCAAGCCGAAGCCATTGACAGTTCGTGGAGTGCACGAAGGTCTTCTTGGTATTGCGAAGGTTCAGGGCCATGGTTCCCAGGATAAGAAGATTTCCGGTATCAAGAAGCTGCTTTCAGCAGCCGACGCAGCAACCGCAGGCAAAGGAAGCAAAGGCATTGATATCACCAAGGACAAAGGTGGACCTAGCGAAGCGAAGTACATTGTTCGATTCTTAGAAGGAAAGCTTAGACTTGGACTGGCGGAGAAGACTGTGCTTGTTGCCCTTGCCCAAGCTGTCGTCGCACACGAGGCCGCTATGGAGGGCCAGAAGACTCCCTCTGCCGAGAAGTTGGCAGAAGGCGAGGCGATTTTGAAGACTGTTTACAGCGAACTGCCGGCGTATGAAGTGATTATACCAGCCATCCTCGAACATGGCCTCTCCAACCTGCCCAAGGTTTGCAAGCTGCAGCCGGGTATTCCCCTCAAGCCCATGCTTGCCAAACCCACCAAGTCCATCACCGAAGTTCTTGACCGTTTCGAAGGAAAGGAGTTCACCTGCGAGTACAAGTACGACGGGGAACGAGCCCAAATCCACTACGTCGCTCCTGACTCGATCCATCAATATCCGGGTGCGACAGCCACCTTGAAGAAGGATGCCAAGGGCCTCAGTGCAATCTTTTCGCGTAACTCTGAGGACCTATCGAAGAAGTACCCTGACGTTCTAGCCAAGCTTGATGGCTGGATCAAGGAGGGTGTCCAGAGTTTTGTACTAGACTGCGAGACTGTTGCTTGGGATACGGAGAACAAGAAGGTTCTGCCTTTCCAACAGCTCATGACTCGCAAGAGGAAAGATGTCAAAGCGGAAGATGTCAAGGTCAAGGTTTGCGTATTCGCCTTCGACCTTCTGTTCCTTAATGGCGAGGTAAGTTTTACTTGCAGTTGCGTCGTCAACTCTGCTAACTGTCAAATAGCCTACGGTCAAAAAATCGCTACGAGAACGCCGTGAGCTGTTACATGAATCTTTCCAGGTGACGGAAGGCGAATTCCAGTTCGCTCAGTACGGAAACACCAATGTACTGGATGAGATCCAGACACTGCTTGATGATAGTGTCAAGGCATCCTGTGAAGGTCTGATGGTAAAAATGTTGGATACGGATGAAAGTGGCTACGAGCCTAGTAAGCGGAGTCGGAATTGGCTCAAGGTAAGCCTCACTTGATATAACCGACAAGCTGTCCCCTAACAATGGCATAGGTCAAGAAGGATTATCTCAGTGGAGTTGGTGACTCCCTTGATCTTGTTGTACTTGGTGCCTATCATGGTCGAGGCAAGCGTACATCGGTCTACGGTGCATTCCTATTGGCTGCGTACAACTCAAGTACGCAAACATATGAGACGATCTGCAACATCGGCACGGGATTCTCGGAAGCGATCCTAGAAGAGTTCTACAATGCACTCTCCCCTCTGACGATTGATCGGCCCAAGCCCTTCTACTCCCATTCCAACGTGCCCAAAGATCAGCCCGATGTATGGTTCGAACCGCGGTTAGTGTGGGAGGTGAAAACTGCGGATTTAACGCTCAGTCCCCGATACAAGGCGGCGGCGGATGAGTTCATGGGGACAACCGGGGGAGGAAAGGGCGTATCTCTTCGCTTCCCCCGATTCATCAAGTCCCGAGACGATAAGAAGCCCGAGCAGGCAACAACCACGCGGGCCGTGGCGGAGATGTACCGCAAGCAAGAGGCGGTTCAGAAGGAGAATGCTGGCAAGGGAGGAGTGGATGACGATTTTGAGTACTGAAGCGCGGAGTTCCTGCATGTCTTTCATGACTTGGGAGGTATATGTACATGTAATGCCGTTGGGTTCTGGATACCCACAATAAAGTGTTTCTGCTATTGCTTTTGCATTGTTAGACTTTGGGGGCTGCTCTGTAAGGGCCCATTCCGTTGGAGTCAAGGATAATGTCTCAGCCTGAGGTGAGAATAGCAATATACACTCAAGCTTTCTCAATCCGATGCACAAATTGCAAACATCTCCCTTGCTGTTTGTAAAGTCTCCCTTTCCAGACGGATTTTCTACGGGGTCTCAAGTGAGTCCACTGCCCCTCGCCATCTGTTAAATCCTCCCCAGACGATGGCGTCCGAATAGGCTTTACAAACGCCACAGCTGCTCCAGGCCATTTTCAAGTAAAAAAGAATGATTGATGGAATGGTACGCCGCTAACAAATGGGATCCGTCGGTTTCCTTAGATCGGCAGGGTCAGCACAGTGCTTGGGCTGTTCCTCCAGCCCTCCCTTGCTTTAAGCTGGCCCCGATTTGGCAGCTCGTGAAGCTCAGCCCGACATTCAGCCAGCCAGGAGACAATTCCTACCCTTCCGCTGGGCATAAATTGGTCCTGGCAGCCATGTCATGCTGATCTTGGCTCGAGGACCAGTCATTCCTTTTTCCCTGACAATCACATCAAGTCCTCGAGGATGGGAGCTCTTCGGTGGCTGTCCATCACGGCGGCTGCGGCCTCCGCAGTGTCAGCCCTGACCCCAGAGTGAGTATCCTCAAAACACTTCTAATTAACCAGGTTGCGCATGGCTAACAGGACTAACACAGACAGATGATTGGTGCCCCGCAGAGAGGCGATGTCATACCAAACCCGTCCGGTGTATGTCGATTGGCAATTCCAGCTATACAACAGAGTATTGTCTGCTGACACGACCAGGACACTGGTTTATTCTCAACCTCCCAATGGTCTCTCGACACCCATTCCAGCAGTACCTGGTGGAGCTTGATCGACCTGGAATCGGGAGAGGTCACCACCCTCACCGATGATGGCGACATTGAGGAGATCATCTGGCTTGGGTCTGATAGTTCTACGCTCCTCTACATCAACAGCACCAATGCACAGATTCCCGGTGGTGTGGAACTGTGGATTGCAGACACTTCTGACTTTTCAAACTCGTTGGTTCAGACCTTCAACGATGTCTCTGCTGGTTGGTACTAATCCTACCTGATGCAGTTACAAGGCAGCCTCTCTCTCCGCCGGTTTCCTCGGCATCAAATCAACTGTGACGGATTCCGGCGACGTGCATTTCATCCTGCGTGGAAAGTCCTATCCCAATGGAACGGCCTACAACGACCAGCTCGCAGAGACCTATCCCAGTACC